CTTCCTTAATCCTGTCTAGAACCGCTCCTATATGGGCCAAGTGCTCCTGCCACGTATTGCTAAAAATGGCAATATCGTCCAGGTAGGCACAGGTGTAGTCTTGGAACCCATCCAGGAGTCGGTCTACCATCCTCTGGAAGGTAGCTGGGGCGTTTTTCATCCCAAATGGCATGACCTTAAACTGGTACAAGCCAAATGGGGTGACAAAGGCCGACTTCGGGATGGCCTCTGGGGCCAGGGGGATTTGCCAATACCCCTTACATAAGTCAATGGTAGTGAGATATTGACCCCTGGCCATTCTGTCCAGTAGCTCATCTATCCGTGGCATAGGATATGCATCGGATACGGTTTTCTCGTTTAATCTCCGGTAGTACACGCAGAAGCGTGTCGTACCGTCCCGCTTCGGTACAAGTACTACCGGAGAAGCCCAGGGACTATCTGAGGGCTCAATCACCCCCAGTTGGAGCATCTCATCGATCTCCTTGCGCATGTTTTCCCTTACCGCTTCTGGGATGCGGTAGGGGGTCTGGCGCATGGGTAGTTGCCCTGGGGTCTCCACCCGGTGAGTGGCCAGAGGGGTGTACCCAGGTACATTAGAGAAAGTGTCTCGTTTCTCCTCCAACAGCCGCTGTACCTCGATACGCTCCTGCGGGCTCAGCCGGTCTCCCAGTGTAACTTCCCCTAAATCCCCAGACAGCTGCCCATCTCCCAGCAGATCTGGAAGTGGTAAGCTGTCAAACTCGTCAGAATTGGGCGCACATATGGCGGTTACCTCCTTGGAGCGCTCTTGGTAGGGCTTCATCATGTTCACATGGAGCATGCGTCGCCCTCCCGTCCCTGTGCAGGGGCCAATTATATAGGTGGTGTCACATCTCTGTTCCACCACCCTATAAGGTCCCTGCCAGGCGGCCTGTAGCTTGTCATGTCGGACAGGCTTTAAAATTAGCACTTTCTGCCCGACCTGAAAGCTACGGTCCCTGGCTCCCCGATCATACCATGTGCGCTGGCGGGTCTGGGCTGCCTGAAGGTTCTCCCTTACCGTCCTAGTTAATGCTTCCAGGCGGTCTCGGAGGGCCAACACATATGGTATGATGGTGGTGCCATCTGCGCTCCGATCTCCCTCCCAATGCTCTCTTATAAGATCTAATGGGCCTCTGACTCTCCTCCCAAATAGCAGTTCAAACGGGGAAAACCCCGTGGATTCCTGCGGCACCTCCCGGTAAGCGAATAGGAGATGCGGCAGGAACCGCTCCCAGTCCTTGTGGGTCTCTGCGAAGGTTCGGAGCATTTGTTTCAATGTACCATTGAACCGTTCGCAGAGCCCATTAGTCTGGGGGTGGTAAGGGGCACTGATAATAGGCTTAATGCCACAGATCCTCCAGAGGTGTTGGGTGAATTCTGCGGTAAATTGGGTACCCTGATCCGAGATAATCTCCCTGGGTAATCCCAACCGGAAGAATATCTGCATGAGGGCATCCGCGACCGTTTCAGCGTGAATGTTGGTCAGAGCCACTGCCTCTGGGTATCTAGTAGCATAGTCTACTACCGTTAAAATGTACCTTTTGCCTGACGGGCTAGCTTTCTTGAGGGGGCCGATCAAGTCTACCGCTATTCGGCTAAAGGGTTCGTCAATTATGGGAAGGGGGTGTAGTTTTGCCTTCCTCCGGACTCCCCTTTTCCCTACCCTTTGGCAGGTATCGCAGGTGGTGCAATACCTGCGTACCTCCTGGCTGATCCCTGGCCAGAAGAAACTTTGGGTCAGTCGGTACCTAGTGCGACTGACCCCTAGATGTCCGGATAGCGGAATATCGTGCGCTATCCGGAGTAGCTCAGCTCGGTACCGCTGCGGCACCACTAGCTGCCTCATCACTATTGGGTCTGACCCAGTAATCTGCTTGTCTGTCTCCCGGTACAAAAGCTGCTTGTCCCAGACAAATCTCTCTCCCTCTCCCCCAAGGGGGTCTGCTGTCACCTTGTCCCTATACACCTGCAAGGTGGGGTCAGTCACTGTCTCAGCTGCAAATTCATTAGGAGGGGCCCAGGGAACACAGTCTAGGGAAGGGGAAGGGTCTCTTACCTGAACCTCCGGAAGTGTGTTGTGGTCCTGGGTGCGGGCCTGTTGACGGGTGACCACAGGATGAGCTTCTCCTGTGATGGGTGTCTGGGGCTCAAAAGCAGATGTGAGCTTCCCCAGATCGTTCCCCAATAATACCTCCGCCGGTAACTGCGGCATCAACCCCACCTCCACATGCCCTGCCCCCGCTCCCCAATGTAAATGTACCCTTGCGGTAGGTAGCCGGTACACTGCTCCCCCGGCTACCCTGAGGGCCACAGTTTTATTCAGTTTCGCTTGATCCGACACCAGGTGACTCTTTACCAGGGTGATAGTAGCCCCTGAGTCGCGTAGTCCTTGTACCGCTTTACCCTCTAGGTATACGGTCTGCCTGTGATGCTGTCTGTTATCAGCATTGGCCTGGACTGGATCCGCCTCGTGCAGTACTTCCCACTGTTCCACGGTTGTTATGGGAACTGCTGAACCATATGGTGTGGCCACTATATCCTGGTAGTGGTGAGCTGCGGCTGCTCTTGGCGGTGGTGGTGGGCCGGGGCGAATCCAGGTGGAACGATCCCTCAGCTGGGGACATTCCCTTTTATAATGTCCCCATTTCTGGCAGTGATGACAGGGGCCAGAAGTGGGCTGGCGAAACCGTGGCTGTGCAGCGGGCAGTGGTAGTGGTGGCAGTTGTCTCGGTGGAGCTGGGTTGTAGTTGTTTCCCCCAAATGTTTTAAAAGTGGCTTTTGGGGCTGCAGGTTTCTGCTGCCTGCGTGCATCCAGGTATTCATCTGCCTTCCTGGCAGCTTCGGGGAGGGAGGTAGGGTTTCTGTCCCTCACCCATTCCTGGACATCGCTAGTTACCCCCTCATAAAATTGCTCCAACAACACCATTTGTAATAAGTCCTCCATGCCTTATTGGACTGTACCCACCACAGGGCGGCCCGATGTAACTTGCAAGCCCATTCCACATGAGAGTCCTTGTCAGTTCTTTTTAGGTCTCTAAACCGCCGCCGATATGCCTCTGGCGTGATTGCATATCGGGCCAGGATCACCTCTTTTACTCTGCGGTAATTACGAATTTCCTCATCAGGTACAGTTCTATAGGCTTCGGCAGCCTTCCCTGTGAGCTTCCCTGCTAAAATAGGCACCCACTCGTCTGGGCTAATACTATGCAATGCATACAGTCTTTCAAAGTCTTGGAGAAAAGCATCTATATCCTCCTCTGCTTCTACATACGTTTTAAATGCTTGGTAAGGATTTTTTGTCTTACCCTGTGTGATGGTAGCATTCCTCTCCAGCTGCTGTAGTGGCCTTTGCTGCAGTATAAACTCTTGCACCTCTGTCATTGTCCTGGATATAATATCCGTTGTTGGATTCTCTCCATAAAAGGACAGCCTAAACTGCAGCTGTCTCTGGAACTCCTCTTTTTCAGCTCCATCTGCTGCCCTCTGCTGCTCAGGGATTACCCTGTCCTCCTGCTAGTATTCAGCCATCACTTCTGCAATGAGGGTTGCTTTCCTTTTGTTGCTGGCTGCAATACCTTTCGCTTCCAGGAGATCTTTTAGCGTGGATCTTGTAAGCTTGGCATAATCACTCTCCATCCGTATTCCATTAGTACTGATACCGGAGCCGGAAGATGACGTCATCTTCCGGCGCCGGCATCCCTACGCGGCGCGCGAGGGAGCTGAAGAGGAAGCACTGAGTGCTCCCTCGCGCGCCCGCCTGCCTGCCCGACCAGCCACCCGCCTTCCCTGTGGGTACATACCCTGCGACCCTGGTATGTACGCCACTGCCCGCAATGTTGTCTTTCGCGCGTGCCATGTGCCCGGGTACTTGAACAAAGTGGCTGACGCTCTCTCTCATTTTCAATGGTCCCGATTCCGGACGGTGGCACCAGAGGCGCCCAGGAGCCCAGCAGCACCACTGGACCCCAGGGAATCCCCCAGCACTCCACAAGGTAAGGAGGCTGGGGGGATTAAATAAAAAAAAAAAAAAACTAGTGTTAGTGTGTGAGTGTTAGAGTGAGTGTTAGTGTGTGTGTCTGCTAGTGAGTGTTAGTGTGTGTGAGTGTTAGTCTGTGTGAGTGTTAGAGTGAGTGTTAGTGCGTGTCTGCTAGTGAGTGTTAGTGTGTGTGAGTGCTAGTGAGTGTGTGTGAGTGTTAGTGTGTGTGAGTGTTAGAGTGAGTGTTAGTGTGTGTGTCTGCTAGTGAGTGTTAGTGTGTGTGAGTGTTAGAGTGAGTGTTAGTGTGTGTGTCTGCTAGTGAGTGTTAGTGTGTGAGTGTTAGAGTGAGTGCTAGTGTGTCTGCTAGTGAGTGTTAGTGTGTGTGAGTGTTAGTGTGTCTGCTAGTG